GGTTTTATGCCCTAAGTAAACAAACCCATCCCTAACTTCCGGAAGTCGTTTCTCGGCCTTCAATGAGTACAGGGAGCTGAAACTTGGAGGGATGATAGGTAGTGGCAAGATACATCTTGTGTTTTAAATTGAACGTTTTCCAGCGGGTGGATCAGAAGCTATTAGGACTTGCCAAACACCCCCTTAGACCGGAAATGGGCAGTTCACGCAAATTAACGGACGGTGGCATATTGATTTTATTGCGGCAATCGACATAAGATACGAACCCGGAAAAAACCCCTTGTGAGTGAAAACCCTCCGACGACTCCTTCCGGTGTTAATAGTCTTTTTCCGGAAAAATGATAATGGACCCTAGAAATGGGATAACTTTGGGATAACTTATATCCCGATAACTTATTGACGGGATATGGATGAAACTTGGTAGGTAGGACCCAAATGGGATTCTAAACCTGAATGTGGAAGATTGACCCCGGGTGACCTCAAATTGACCTTTGGGCGTTTAGGACCAAAATTGCATGGAAAGCCCCAAGATTAACACCGGAAAAAGGCGTATTCCCCAGCCCGACCCCTGGAAATGAGAATGGGTCACCTTGCTTAAAAAAATTGGGAGGAAACTTATATATTGGGAACTTGAGCAGAAGCTGATAGAGATATAGTTTTATATTGCAACCTTGAGGTCATAGAGTTAATTCAAACTAAACTTGGTAAGCACTAGATTCAGTTTAGCTTGGCAGATGATCTATTAATAGCAATTCAACTAGACTAAAGAAAAGTAGTCCCAGAGGAAATTGATATGATAGGACCGCAGCATGAGTATTAAATCTCCTAAATACTATGAAAGGACGGGGCTTTTACTTGGCTTCTCGGAAGTGAGTTTTTGGTTTGATTTGACCCCTAATAAAGGAAGTACAATACCCTGATAGCTGGAAGGTCGGAATAGAGTACAGATAGAAATTTTAGATGCCTAAAATGAATTAGCTACCCATGAAAAGGGTCTTCCCATGCCCCTGGGAGGTCGGAACGTTAACGGGATAATTAAATAAAGGACTTGGGAGAGTTGCTGAGTAAAGATAGCATGATTTGGAGGCTGAGTTGAACTCGAGGGCTGAAGTCATTGAGGTCAGAAATTAGTTGATTGGAATTGTATGACATTTGTTTGCTAGGTCAAAACGTGACACCTACCGCATACCATACCGGGTATCTAATAAGCGTGAAAAAGTTGATAAAAGAAACCAAACTTGGCACGGGGCAGAGTTGACAGGGGGGATATAGTCTTAAAACATGTGTGGACGGGTCAATTAAGCGGATGCCAGGACTGATAGGAAAGAGCGTGAATTAACTAAAACTAAGTTTAAGCAAAGATAAGAAACTGGAGATTACCGGAGATCCTTTAAGAGTCAGAACAATTGTTAGCTACTATTAAGAGTAGTTGGTTCTCAGTCAGAGTAGGGAGCAATTGAAACTGAGATAGAGTATAGTTGGTTCTCAGCTAGTTAGAGAGAACAATTATTGATAGTTAGTCAAGTAGTTGGTTCTCGGAGTAAGGAACAAGTATAGCAGAATTAGCAGATAGTTGGTTCTCATCAGAGATTTTCTAGAGAAAGAGAAAAATTAGTTTAGTGAAATCAGTGAAAGTAAACTTGCAGTCAACCAACTGCGCTTAAAAATTGCAGACCCTTTACCTTCGATTAGACTGATGAATTATTTCGCAGCCATTCAGAGCCTTCTGTAATTAGACAACTACTCTTTTGAAGTTATTTTAAAATTGGAGATCATGTTGATTGTATTGATAAGACAGCCCTAAGAGCAATACAGAGAAGGGGCACGCAACAAAGAGCACAACAGAATAGTTGCCACCAAACTAGCCCTTTCGGGATTGTAGATAGTAGTGAATCTCGGTCAGCCCTGTAAATTCACTGCCCAAGGGACCACTAGAGAAGCAATCTACTAAATCTACACAATCTTAGGCCCTAAAAAATTTCTTTGCTTTTCGAATTTTTGTTTCTAATTTAGTGAAGAAAACTTTAAAGTCGTCAAGCAGAGTTAATCGGTTGTTGAGCTCTCCGACCTTTAAGTAAAAAACTCAAAAATAAGAAAATTTTTGACAATTTTTGTACTTTTTTTAATCTACAGTATGCCAAGTTGAGAAGGTTGGAGCTGTATTAAAACTTTTCCGATAAATTTTGTGATGTCAACAAATTCGAAGAACTCAAAATGGATACAGATTCCCTCTATTTGGCTTTGGCAGAAGAAGATTTAGATGATTGTATCCTTCCCAGCAAGGGAGCAGAATGGACTGAAAAGCGAAGCAAGGACTGTCGAGATGACTTCAGAGCAGATGCAAAAAACAACTTTTTCCCCCGTATTTGCTGTTCTAAACATAAGAAACATGACAAGAGAGAACCAGGATTGTTCAAGGAGGAGTTCAGATGCACCGAAATGTTATGCCTGTGTAGTAAAACCTATTGCTGCTACGATAGTAAAAGTCAAAAGTATAAGTTTAGCAGTAAAGTTCTGAACAAACGTGCATTAGAAGACTCTGGAGATGGACCGATGGCGAAGTATCGACAAGTACTGGATGAGGCAGTGAGTTTGAAGTCAACAAATAGAGGATTTAAAACGATTAACCATGCAGTCGCAACTTATGAACAAACTCAAAAAGGGCTGAGTAAAGTTGTATACGATGCGGTGAATTATTACATTTTCTCTGAGATTAATCTTTTTTTTGAAAAATTTTTTTAAACGCTACGTTTCGGTTCGCAATATATTGTTTTTTGACTAAGAAAACATTTAGAATCTGGAAAATTGGCAAAATGAAGTACCAAAAAATTTGGGCTCCAAAAATTTTTCTGAAACTTACCATCTTACCATCTGAAACCTTAACATCGTAATACATTAGGAATCTTATTCCCTAATGAATTCTTAATTCCCTACAATGAATTTCTTATACATAGGGAAATCTATACATGGTAAATTCGGGCGCCGAAAAAAACTTACCATCTGAAACTTACCATCTGAAACCTGGTATTTTAATACATTGGGAAACCTATTTCCTATCTTAATACATTGGGAAATATATAGCCTATGTTAATACATAGGGTGACGACCGGATACTCTATAGCCTATGTTAATACATGGGGGTCGTCACCCCCCCCCCCCCCGGCTGAATTCATCCAACATATACTACTGATACAAAACAGGCCAAAACCTATCAAACCGAAAGTAAAGGAAAGTGAAACAAATGTATTATATGACAATTAAGCCGACAAAAGAAACAGACATGAAATGAGCCGACAATTCTTTTGTGAATCGGTATATTTCGCATTTGAAAAAAAAAAACGGATTCTGACAGATTCGAACCCAGGACTATTTCCGTTTGCGTCTTCGTTACCTTCAGGCTATGTGTGCCTGAGACATAAAGCATTTAGACTAAATTAAGAACTGATCTTAATTTACCTCTAATTTCGACCATTATGTGCCTAAAGTTATTTACGGGGGAAAAGTCTAGTACCCAATTGCAATACTTTTGCTATCGCAAGGGTAAAAATCAGAAAAAGATTACCGAGGTGTGAGGTACGTACTTAAGACACTACTTTTAAAACTCTAATTAATGGTTTTGCTTCAAGAAAACTCAATAAAATTACAAATTCAAAAAATTCATAACTAATCATTGTTTTAAAATTTGTTCTCTAGCTCAACTTACAATGACTGAGTCATGGCTTTTAAATTTTGCTCTATCATTTCAACCTAACTAGCGCCAAATTCTCTGAATGATTTGATCAGCCCTAACTAGTCCTAGTTTATTTCAGTCTGGTAGACAAAATTTTGGGTTCCCTTAAAAGTTCGTGGAGTTGTAGAATTGGTTGTAAATTAGTTCATCTGTCTAACAAACAAAATTGCGAGATCTACTTATAATTTTTGAATTTGCAGACATTTGCGGAATCCGTTCAAAAATTTGCAGATTTTGTTTTCATTTGCAGATTTCAATTAAAATGCGGAATACGCAGCAAATTGTTATATTCACTTGTTGCAAATTCCGCGAAACATCTATTGTACCGTCAAACGTTATTTTAAAAAACATGTTTGGTAGATTCCGATTTATTTTGGCGCTTCCATTCGACTTGCGTTGTGAGAACATGTTTGAAGATTTGTCTCTGGATTCTAGGAGCCTACACACACTAAACGGAGCTGGTATTCAAGGAAAGAATTGCATTCGATCTCAAGCCATACAAAAACGGGAGTTTCGTCTGTCACTACTAGCAATGCAATGGAAAATTCGAAACTTTTTTCAGGCTGGTGAAAATCAGTGTAAAGCTTTGTGTCTTCTGCATAGTTTCTTTCTCTGACCAGCTTCTTTGGCTAGCTGAAATAATAAAAACATTTTAGATCGAAGAAAACTGTTAAACTCTATTTCTATTTTGTTATGAGCACAAATGTTTCGCGATGCTAGCGTCACTTGCATTAAAAAGTAAGAAAGTTATTTTACCCACAGGGTCAGTTGATAACTGTTGTTATAAGCCTTATGTTTCATTGCATTTGTACGCCCTAGTTTTTATGTAAAAAC